AGAGAAATGTGACCAATTACACAATTCATAGTTCAAGAAAAACACAACCTAATTGCTTGTGAGAAATGTATCTACTTCTAATATTAATATGGGACCATATATCACCCCAGGGGCCTTTAACTAATAGGGTATAGTGTAATAAAATGAGCATAGATCTCAACCATTAAGGGTGGGAGAGTACTTTCAGTGCTGTAAGTATTTACATTTGGAATGCCTGAGTTAGGGAGTATCTTTCACTCTGTCCTATGTTGTTTGTGAGTCTGCAACCACGTCGCATATGCATCAGGACTATCGAAGATAAAACCTGGAAGAAGGAAAAAGAAAACTTACATATATTGGGTGCTCACAGTGGGCCAGACACATTTTATATGTTATCTCAATCTCAACAAGGCATTCTGTATGTTATTTCACTTAACCTCAATACTTCAAGGCGGACCTATTTTATAACTTGAGCTAGGTCAGTGGTCGGCAAACTCATTAGTCAACAGAGCCAAATATCAACAGTACAACGATTGAAATTTCTTTTGAGAGCCAAATTTTTTAAACTTAAACTATATAGGTAGGTACATTGTTATTAACTTAATTAGGGTACTTCTAAGGCTTAGGAAGAGCCACACTCAAGGGGCCAAAGAGCCGCATGTGGCTCGAGAGCCGCAATTTGCCGACCATGGAGCTAGGTTACCAGACTAGAAATCAGCTCTTTCTGGAGCAAATTTCATCAGTCTAAGTGACTTCCTCAGGGTACATGACTGTTTTATATAAAAGTCTGTGAACTGAAGAAGCAGGCCTCTTATATGAACTGCCTCAAGAGTGTTAAGAAAACTCCAATTCAATAAATTTGTGAAGCTCCAAGCTGGATACCATAAGGAAACCACAGTGAGCTAAATCTAGTTCCTTTCCCAACTATGGAACTCACACCTCAGTGAGTTATTCCTTGTGACGTTTTGATTAGGTCAGTACGTATTTCAAATAAACATGAAATTTCCATTACAAAGTTCTGTGCCTGCAATTCAAGTCTTTATTCTGTGCTTTATTGCTTAATTTAAAGACTATGCTGTATTTTGTAATGGCCTTTGGCTAAAGTCATGAATTAGTTGACTCTATTTAGATTTTAAATGTTCAAAGCTAAAAGTTCTAATTGGAAATTCATTCTCAGAAAAAGGAATGGAGAAGGAAATAAGACCTAAAATACTTAGGCTGTAATTCAAGGGAACCCCTTCAAAAATAATTTTCCCTCTTCTATGATCCTTTCCCCTTCTAGTCTGCAATAGGGTGTAACATTCAGAGTTGCTTCTTTGAGCGATTTTGATCTAAAAAGATGGAAAGATTGACCATAATCAATTTACATAGATTTAAGTGACAAATTTCAAGCGGACTAGGTATTGCCTTGGAATAGCATGGTCTTCACAAGTAGGACACTTGAGACCTCTTGAGGGTGGGGGTGGGGGCTCAAGCACCTCTGAAGGTGCTGACCATCCAGAGAACAAAGTTAGAGACATGTGAGCAGAGGAGCCTAGATGACAGACTCCAGTTTAGTGAGAAGCAGCAGTAACTGGTACTATATGTGGATGAATGGCAGACACATTGTAGGAAATGGGAGTTGAAGAGGGAGAAGCTAAAATCTGAGAAATAGACATTTTCCATGTCTGATCTGGAGAAAAAGCCAGAAGTATTCATTCTATGCAAGAGAGTTTTTTTCTGCTCTCCTGAACATCTATAGGTCACCTTTAATCAATACATTCCATTATAACTGTCCTAAGGACCATTTTTGTTATGTCAAGAAAAAAAATCAACTTTTTTTCAAGTTGTTGTGATTCCATCAGACGGCACCACTTGAAGCTTGGATACAATAATGGTGACCAGTTAATGCAGCTAATTAGCTGATGACCCCTTCTAGAGTGACGTCAGGGAAGGGCATGACCAACCCCGGATACTGCATTTGGCAGTGCAAGGAGCCGTGACTGCCAAAGGGTGCGATTTGTTGAAGCGTGAAACCAAACCAGGGCAAGATAAAAGGAGCTGAGTCCTTATAAAAATAGTATTGTTTTTCATTAATGAGCTCTTTTTAATCAAGAGCTTTTAATCAAGAATGCTTTTCTTAACTAAAGGTTTAAGTTTCCATTTTCAGGTAAGAACCTTTCTGTGCCAAATGTAAAAGTTATCTGCTAAGGCTCAGTAACGTTTATTGGTGTGCTAGCAGGAGTTTATCATTTTAATTGCTTTTGTCTAGTTAATACAAGACACAAACTTTATACTGAAGATAAAAGTTATTTTCTAGAATTTCCATAGGCTGTAAAGGGTTTCTGTATTCGCCCATTCCACAAACATTTATTGCTACCTACTGAAGCTAGGCATGGAGCAGACATTAGAATGCAAAGATGAATAAGGCACAGTCATTGCTCTGAGACCCTCACAGAGCCTATAGGGAAGGAATATTAAATCAGTCATTTTTATGCAATGTAATAAGTACAAGATAAGCATTGTCTTGGGCTAGTAGAAGACTGAAGCGGCCATCACCTGGTGGCAACTGAACTCCTGACTGTGCCATATAAATGAAAACAAATAACCAAACCAGCATGTGCCAATTTAATCATTTTTACCTTAGGGACCATTTATGCCACTATTTTTACATTATCCTTTTAAATGACTCACTTTATAAAAATTAAATCCAGTCTTTGATGTGCTAATTACATTTTCCCAACAATATTTGTAGTAGACAATGTCCTCCTTGGGTCCCTTTAAACCAGTGGTTCTCCACCCTCCTAATGCCGCGACCCTTTAATACAGTTCCTCATGTTGTGGTGACCCCCAACCATAAAATTATTTTCGCTGCTACTTCATAACTGTAATTTTGCTACTGTTATGAATCGTAATGTAAATATCTGATATGCAGGATGTATTTTCATTGTTACAAATTGAACATAATTAAAGCATAGTGATTAATCACAAAAACAATATGTAATTATATATGTGTTTTCCGATGGTCTTAGGCGACCCCTGTGAAAGGGCCGTTCGACCCCCAAAGGGGTCGCAACCCACAGGTTGAGAACCGCTGCTTTAAACTTTTGTGTTTTCTCTAGGCTTCAGTGTGCTTCTGCTTCCAACACTCAACGCCTGTGACTTTTCTTTGACTAACTGCTCTCGGGCTACTGGAGCCACTTTGTCCACACTTGCAGAGCCTGGTCTTTGTATTCTTGTAGGGAGCAGCTATAAGCCTTGGACTGACCTGTAGCAGGGCCACAAACAAGTCCCAGCTTGGAGGGCAGAGCCCTTCTAGCATAATTAAGTTTGATCTTATAGTCCTCCCTAGTTCCTTCCTAGGTAGCTAATGGGTTGTGGGAGGTGCAGCAAGTACTGCCAAAACAAGGTGAATCTCACAAGAACATTGTAAACATGTTGACCACTTCCCTTGTTTTGCTTTGTGTGCTCTGACTATAAAATAAAGCTTCGGCTTGCAGGCTGGGTCTGTGTCCTCATCCAGGCACTAGAGATCCACCCAGCCCCAGCTGTATTCTCTTGTCTGTCTTCTTTAATCCTTCACCACCCCTCCTCAGGTTCACCCTTGTCCATGCTGGATGCAGTTCACATCCTGAACATGGCTTTTAACCAATGCCTGAGGCTATGGGATTATGAAAGCCCTGCTCCCTTACCTTGGGTCTGGACAAGTCCTCAAACTTCTCCCTGGGAGATCAGCTGAAGCTACCCTTTGTAAAACCTGGCCTTAAACTACACCCTCCCTCTCATATCCCCACCTTCATCTGTACCAGCCTCCCCTGGGGCACTCCCTTAAGAAATCACCAGCACACAAATCCTTGTGTGGGGATCTGCTTCTAAGAAACTTGGTTTTAGACAATAAGACCCTTCTCTTCCCCAGATAAAGGAAAAATGTTCATCCTTGTACTCACAACATACTTTGTCTACCTACTTCAGTGACACACAACTAGCTCAGAAACACTAATCTGACACTTACATGTTAAATTCCACTAAACAGAAAACTCTTAGAGTTACAGGGCAGGTATTTCATATTCTTCTCCAAGAAGGGACTATTTAATGAGACTGATTCTCCTGCTAGCAAAACTTTACTTTTAAGCTTTCTGATTTTTTAAAAAAGATGTTTCATTAATTTTTTAGAGAGAGAAAGAGAGATAGAAACATCAATGATGAGAGAATCATTGATTAGCTGCCTCCTGCATGATCCCCACTGGGGATGGAGCCCCAAAACTCAGGCATGTGCCCTGACCAGGAATCAACCAGTGACCTTTTATTGATTTCAGAGAGGAAGGGAGAGGGTGAGATAGAAACATAAATGATGAGAGATTAGCTGCCTCCTGCATGCCCCACATTGGGGATTGAGCCTGCAACCCGGGCATGTGCCCTGACTGGGTATTGAACTGTGACCTCCTGGTTCATAGGTCAACATTCAACCACTGAGCCACATGGGCCGGGCAGTCAGGTATATTTTTTGCAAACATCTCCCAATTTATGGCTAGCTTTTTCTTTTTATTAACAATGTCCTTTTAAAAGTAAAATTTTATGAAGTCAGATCTTTTTCTTTTATACTTTGCAATTTTAAGGTCTGTTTAGAGAACTTTTGCCAAACCAACTGACCAATAATACCCTCTTCGCCACTGGTACAGATGACCATTTCCATGAGAATACTCCAGAGCCACTTACCACCAAGATGACTGGAGATGACACAAACCCTGCTTGTCATCCCTAGTCTGATATATATGACACTTTTGAAATATGGCTAAACAACCTTTTCTATTGTGTTATAACCTTTACTTGCTTTTCTAATAGTTATAATAGGTTAAAGACTTTTTAAAAAATCATTCTCATCTTTCAGGATTATACAGAATTAAAGTACAGAATTCAAATATTCATCTACTAAAAAAAAAGATAAAAATCATCAGGTAAAAGAAATGAAAGTGTTCTCAGCTCTGTGTAAAACCATTCTATTGAAAACAGTGCTAATAAATATATGACAACCAACAGTGCACTTCAGGTAGATAATAAAAATTTAATTGTAATATTACAAAATAAACAAATTTATAAAAGTCAAGTATTTAGTTTTGGATGCTAGAAATAATATACATAATAAATTCAGCATGGTACTGATAGTGCTGCAAGATTAGATTTTATTGTTCAAATTATAGATTATGCCAATCAGGCTGCTTTGTACTCAAGTTTCAAAAAATCTACTTTTATTACGAAAAGCATCTGGTCTTTATACATTGCTACTGAAACCTGGCATACTGCAATTGAAGCTGTGTGACTACAATCTTAATGATCCTCTCATAATGGAAATAAAGAGGCAAACATTCCCCCCCTATGGAATAACAGTCACCAAAACTGTCAGTGTCAAAAATGATTCCTTTCTCCCTTTTAATCTCATAAAAGCACATGCATGAGAGAACATTAAAAACAAAAAGGGCAACTTTAGGCTTTATGCTAGGTTGATGTTAAAATCCACAGACTAATTTTTAGATGTAATATTTCTGGTTCTGGTCTTTTAAAAATAGAAACAGAAGTAATCAACATTTTTAACATCAGGAAATATAATTTTGTTATTCTTCCATAATCAAAATTTTCAACTATTTCTAAGACTGTTTCTATAGCCTGTTTTCACTCAGCTAGTTCAGGAGACACACGGTTGAAAAAGGACTGAGCATATAAACTTTAAGGCTAAAAAAATCCATCTTCAAAATGTAAAGATTTAAATAGAGCCCTTGACAAGGTTATTTAATACCTAATTGCTGGTCATGAAAACAAGTAGACAGAAAAAAAGGGCCATATTTAAATGCTTAAATGAAAAACCACAGGCAGGTCTTTACAACGTAAGTAATTCTTTCAACCTAAGGACATTTGCTGAAAGTAAGTTACCTTACTTCATGATACATCTTCTTCAAAACCATTATGCCCAATTCTGGATCAATGTCTCTTATGCTTTGGTTGGAAGATTTAATGAAGTATATAGTCTGTAGGAGGCAACTATAGAACTCAACAAACAAAATATAATAGATAAAATACTAGAATCTTAACTGAAAAATGTTATGTTTGTCCAACTTTTTCATGCAATCAGCATGCCCATCTTAAATCTGACATATCATTTATAAAAGATTGCTACAGTCCCACTGAAATTTGTTATTCTGATGAGCCAAATTCAAATGCTTTCATACAGGTGAGGATTAAAAAATGTTCTGAGGATTATTCATCATTGTCTGTAAAGAAAAAAAAAGAAAATAATTTAATTCATTTCCCTGCAAATCAACTGTATGTATCTACTTGTAAAAAATTTATATTTTTCATGCTAAAGGAAAAGAGCTTTAATGTAGTTTTTATTATAATATCACATACTCAGTGTAAAATATTCAGACAATACAATGAACAATAAAGTGGGAAGCAAAAAATCATCCAAAAGCCAAAGACAATCAATGTTAATTTTATATAAATCTTCTCAGATCTTTCCCTGTGAATATACAAATATCTTTTTTAAAATTACAATAAAATGCATTTTGAGACATGAGTTTTCCCCCTTAAAACACATAATGGACAAAAAGATGAATAAATAAGTAATAAAACAAGATCATAAAATGTTAATGGCAGAATCTAGGTAGTGGGTATATGGGTGATAACTTGGAAAGTTCTTCCAACATTTCTATATAATGACAATTTTACAATAAAATGTTGAAAAAGAATAAGTCATAGATATATTCCATGTCAATTTCAATGGCTGCATTTTGTTTTATTTTATGGATATGGTACAATTCAGCATTTCTATTTATGGACACTGGTTATTTCCAATTTTTTGTTATTCTAAAAAAACACTGCTGAATGAATTAGAGCACTTAATTTAATCTAAGATAACAATCGCCATCTTCCACACGCTAGCAAAGGTGATTGTTCATTAAATTCCAAGTGTCATCTCTAATCACTGCACTGCTTAAGACCCTTCACTAGCTCCCCACTGCCTCAGGACAGAACCCTTATATGGATTGCAAAGCCCTTCATTATCTGGCCTTTTCAATATGTCTAGCCTTATTTACTTTCATTGCCCACCTTCCCTAAGCATCCCCATAATTCATGCTTGAGTAACAGTGAATTGCTTATAGTTCCCCTAATGCAATATTTCACATCCCTCTATGTGTAAGTACACATATTGATTTGGGGGTTAATTCACATTAATATTTCAAAATCCAACTCTGATGTCCTCTCCCCTAGGAAGAATTACCCTGAAACTTTGATTTCTTCCAATACAGCCAGATCATTACCTTGTGCAACATACATGTTACAATTATCACTCTTACAATTCAATTATTTTTTATAATTACACAATGTCTCAAATAGTCAGGAAAGTACAGAGAATAAAATAATGAACACACACCTACCTAATCCTTAGAAATAATAAAAGTTAACTTGTAGCTATATTGGTTTGGATTATTTGTTAAGAAAAATCATATTACAGGTGCAAAGTACTCTTCTCCAATCTTAGTGACTTCTCTTCTTCCCCAGGGGCAGTATCCTGAGTCTGATGTGTGTCCTTCCCTCCCATGATTTTTTACTTTTATTAGATATAAGTATACCTAAATAAAATTGCTTTTAAACATTACAAAAATGGTATCATGTACTAACTACTTACTCAGCTGATCATATTTGTGGGGCTTATCCATATTGATAGATAAAAACTTAGTCCATTTGTTTTAACTGCTCTAGAGAATTTCATTACATAAACACAGTACAATATCCAAAGTGAATGTGGAAAGAAGGTATGTATTTCCTTCTTAAGAGACTACAAGGTTGGACGTATGCCAGTAACTTGCACCATGCTATATTATGAGAAAGAGCCACATGAAATCCAACTACTGTAAAAATTACTGAGGATATTTTTCAGTCTGATATAGTACTACTAGAGGCCTGGTGCACGAATTCGTGCACAGGTGGGGTTTCTCTGGGTGGCCGGCAGGGATCGGGCCAAAACCTACATACAGTCCAACACCACCTGCAGCTCCTACCTGCCACTCACGCTCATCCAGGCCCCACTGTGTCTGCTGCAGGCTCGATCAGGAGAGGCTCACGCTGCAGCAGCAGCACTCACCAGCCATGAGCCCTGCATCTGGCACCCTCCCAAGGGGAGTGGACTGTGGGATTGGGCTGAAACTGGCTCTCCAACATCCCCTGAGGGGTCCTGGATTGCAAGAGGGTGCAGGCCAGGCTGAGGGACCCCACCGGTGCACATTTGGGCTGGGGAGGGACCGCGGGAGGGCTCCAGGATGTGTCCGGCCCATTTCACTTAGTCCTGATTAGCCAGACCCCAGCAGCAAGCTAACCTACCAGTCAGAGAATCTGCCCCCTGGTGGTCAGTGCATATCATAGTGACTGGTCTACCAGTTGACTTCTGCCCTCTGGTGGTCAGTGCATGTAATAACGAGCAGTTGAGCAGCCTTAGCATATCATTAGCATATTATGCTTTGATTGGTTGTTCAGTTGTTCTGCCGTTGGTCTATTTGCATATTACCCTTTTATTATATAGGACTAGTGGCCCGGTGCACGAAATTCGTGCACGGGAGGAGGGTGTCCCTCAGCCCAGCCTTGATCCTCTTGTTGGAAGGTTAGAGGCTAGTAGAAATCTTCCTTGTGAATATCTCCATGGAGCTGAGGGCAGGTGTCTAAGGTGGTTGTGTCTCAGCTTTCCCATCATCACCAGGGCCCAGGCTTGGGGTCCTCATGTCTTCCTTACTCTCCTCACCTTTGGTGCTCTAACCTCTTGAGAGGTGGGTGGAGAGGGATAGGTCTGTGGAAGCCAAAACTCAGGCTAAGACATCTAGGGCTGGACACTGAATATCTCTTGGTTTCCTTGTTTGCTTTAAGCTCTTTGGAGAGAGCCTAGCCTACGTGTACTAAACCAAAGGGCTTTGGTCCCATCCCACAGAAGAAGCAGAGATCTGGAAGGTTCCAGGAGGGGGAGGTTCAGGGCTCCTGTGGCCTTGGCCACCCTGCTGGAGAAGCAGAGCAAAGCATGGGGTGTGGCATAGAGACACCCTTAGCAGGGCCCTGCGTGAGGCTGGCCGAGGCGTCCGGCCTGGGCAGCGGGGACCCGCAGCTGCAGCGGCCCCGAGATCGCGGGCTCCGCTTTAGGCCCGGGCAAGGGACCCCTAGCTCCCGGGACTGCCAGCTTCACCTGTGCCCAGCTCCCATCGCTGGCTCCACCCCTACTTCCCGCTATCACTGGCCAGGGCGGCAAAGGCACCCGATTCTCCGATCATGGCTGGGGGGCAGGGCTCTTAGCTCCCCCCTGGGTTTCCAATCACTGTCAATGGCAGGGGCTTCTTCCTGCTTTCCCTTTCGCCTCCCTGCATTGTGCCTACATATGCAAATTAACCGCCATCTTTGTTGGCGGTTAACCGCCATCTTAGTTGGCAGTTAATTTGCATATCACCCTGATTAGCCAATGAAAAGGGTAGCGGTCGTACGCTAATTACCATGTTTCTCTTTTATTAGATAAGGAGGATTTTATAAAATGGGGTTCAAGATCTCAATAAAATCAGGAATTCACAAGTTCCAGATAATGTTTTAATTATATATTTCCAATTCTCTAATAATAAAAATAATCTTTTAACATTTTGGAGGAAAGCATTTGCTTTACACTAGTAAATCACAACTGACGGGCATTTTTAAGGACTAAGACTTGAGTTTTTCACTGACATCCATGGACTTAGATTCTTGGAATCTGAAAACAATTTTTTACCCTTTAAAGGAATCAACATATTATTCAACCTTGAGGAACACTATATCATAGTCCTCTCTTTTTTAAGAATCGTGGGAAATTGTTTCCTTTCTTTCAATACCAAAAATAGCTGACCTTTGCGTAACTGACATGTTTTGTCTCATGCACACTGTGACTCATGTACTTAATTAGGTTTCCTGCTTTGCTAGAAAGATCAGCACCAAATTTGTGACTTATTTTCACAAAATGTAGAAATCATTTGAATATAAACTTTGTATTCTTACTTTGGTCTTGGCTTAATATTATATTGTTTTCACTCATTTGCCTGATATGTTGACTTTCCCAAACACTTGTTCTTAATTTTATCTAGTATTGAATGTATTTTTAAATGCAATCTTTAATGTTTTCAAAACAAGATAAAATCTTACAAAAATTTATATTGTTAAATTTAAGCATCAACATTTTAAATCCTCAATTTCAGTCTACAAATCATACTTATAAAGTAACAGAATTTTTTGACCAATATTCTAGAAATATATTCTTGTTCAAAATCATCAGAATCAGTTTATAAATTAATTTTGAAAAATTAGGTTCCTTACTTCATAATAGGACTTAGAACAAAAAGACCACATTTTATTATTTTGTTGTTGTTGTTGTTAATCCTCACTCGAGGATATTTTTTCCATTGATTTTTAGAGAGAGTGGAAGAGAGGGGGAGAGACAGAGAAACATCAATATGAGAGACAATTAACTGTTGTCTCCCACGCACGCCTGCAACCAAGGTACGTGCCCTTGACCAGAATAGAACCTGCAACCCCAAAGTTCTGGGGCTGATGATGCTCTAACCACCAAGCAAACTGTCTAGGGCAAGACCACATATTATTGACCTTGATAACCTACTTCATTTACTAAGCTTGATTTTAAAGTAACGTTGAGCTTTTTCCAAAGTATTAAATGTTCCCAGAAAAAGGACTTATACCAAAAAGGATAATCAAAAGAATCTGGTATATAAGCTGTCACTGGGAAATTCCAGAAGAGAACTTTCAAGGTATTTTGTGTAATGGAACATCTTCATTAGACTAAGTCTATATCTCTACATTAAGTTCTTACATTTTTCCACCAAATACTGTTGTAGTTCTTTAACAATTTCTATAGAGAAGTGCTCCCTTAAGTTTCTATTGATAGATTTCATAACAACCACCATTAATATAAAACATTTTATTTTTATTTGTTATAATCCTAAGAGGGCTAAAAGAAATCATAATGAAGAATAAGTGCAGCACTAATTACTGGCTTATGAAGGAAGACTGGTATATATTCAGTGCATTACTTGTTGCTAACAACCCTAACTTTTTCTTGACAGTTATTCTGTTAAAAAGAATAGTACTGAAAAAAGTGATTTATTTTTTTAATCCTCACCTGAAGACATGCTGAAAGAAAGAGAGGAAGAGAAAGAGAGAGAGAGAGAGAAATATTGATGTGAGAGAGAAACATCAATTGGTTGCCTTCTGCACCTGCCCCAACAGGGGATCAAACCTGAAAGCCAGGTATGTGCCCTGACCAGGAATCCAACTAACTACCTTTTGGTGCACAAGATAACATTCAACCAACTGAGCCACTTGGCTGGGCAAAATACAGTGATTTTTGAAGCTATAAGATAATAGTACTGACTGTACCTGAAGATTTTCTAATTTTGATTTATCAATAACTATTAGAGTTTTTACAAGACTTACTTCTATTAAAACAATCCAAAGAAACATTTTTTGTTGAGCTTTAGAAAACATATCATAAAACTTTAGGAAAAAACAGTCAATGTAAATAAGTCTACATAATTATAAAGCTGCTCCCCAAATTAAAAAAATATTTAATTTCATTTTAGTAAACAATTTTTCATGAGTCAAACTATCAAATATTTTTATAAGAAGCCTTGCTCTGAAATACTTGAACTGAATATTAACAGCTCTATTCCTATGAATAGGAAATCCAGGTATTCATCACCTCATGCCCAAACACACCTACAGTTTCAAACCAGATTACTTCCAATCTTGGCACTCTCCAAACCATCCAGAATACTGCTGCCAGATTGAACTTTAGAAAACACCTCATTAATTATGTCAGGTTTTTTTCAGTTCAAAAATCTTCACTTATTTCCTCTGTGTATTTTACACACTTCACAGTGTCATATCACAAAGACTAATTTTCAATAAGAAGCTTCTAATATGGTCAATTTCATCCTAATATACATTAATCAGTTCATTCTATTTTCCTTACAAATTGTTCCCTCTATATTTCTTTCCATTTTTCACAAACCAACCTCCCCTTCTCTAATTCCTACTGTACTAAAAAGTATCTTAGGAAGAGCAATCAATTATATGTGTGTATATATATTCTATAATAATAAAAGTATAATATGCTAATTAGACCGGACAGCCAAACGACCTTCCGGACAACCTTCCGGAAGCACACAATAACTACTTTGAAAACCAATCTAAGTACATTATATTGGAGATCATCTTTCTATTTTTATAGCAAAGGAAAGTGAAACTTAAGACAAAATAAATCACTCAATGTCACATCATTAGCCTCCCAAAGAGTCAGGACTGTGACACTGGTTTCTTGGTTCCATGGTAAGTGCTCTTGACTATATTTAAAGAGAAACCATTTTTAACTAATAACTTTTCATAAAGTCCTAACATATTTTTTAGTGATTCTATAGGTAAGTAGTTTCCAAATATAAAAATGGGTTATATTCCAATCCCTACAGATGAACTCTCCTTACTCTGAAAGAGATTACATTTAGTATTATTTAGGATAAACTTTGCATATTGCTGAAGCTCATCAATTGACATTTGCCATTTTGTTTTTTGCACATTTATTTAAAATATAAAGATGGGAGGAAATCTTACCTTCCTGATAGGCCCCATCTGCCATGACTAAATGAAGAATCTTTGCATAAAGATGCTGATGTTCGTTTCCCAAAATATTCTGAGCTATTGTTGAACAAATCTCTATATTTTCATCTTCATCTTCATGAACAGCCTATACCAAGTTTCCAAATACAAAGTAATATTTGAATATTATCTTTCTCTAGTTGGATACTTTGTTAATCTTTTACAATAAATTTACTTACCAATAAAAAAAATCACTGACATTTCACTAGTAATTTAAACAGAGCATATTTCAAAATTAAATGTTTTAACTGACATTTCACTTACCTTTATTTTCTCATAAACTTCAAAGAACTTTTCAAAGCCTATTTCCTGCTCCAGGTGAAGTCTCAGTTCCTCTAAATGGTTAAAGACACTATCATATTCACACTCACTAGTTATCTCACCATCACTGTTATCTAAAAAACATTAAAAAGATATCATTAAAAAAGACTAAATCAAATAATTATTACCCTAATATATTAAAATTCTGTAAGTGAATCATGTCATTGAAATAGAGTACTTTAGTGCTGGCTGGAGTGGCTCAGTTGGTTGGGTGTCATCCTGTGCACCGAAAGGTTGCCAGTTCAATTCCCATTCAGGTACATGGGCTCAATCCCCGGTAGGGGGCATGCAGGAGGCAGCCAATCGATGTTTCCCTTTCTCTCTCTCTCTCTCTCTCTCACTCTCTCTCTCTCTCTCTCTTCCTCTCCCTTTCTCTACCTAATAAAAAATAGACCACTTTGTACTTTAAATATAAAGTTTTTGTCATTATAATATTTGCCATTTATACAGGTAATCAATGTACATAAATCTGTCTTAATAAGAACATTACTTTGAAAATCTTTTTTTTATAGAAATAAACAGTAAACCAGGATAGAATAAAAGCTTCCCTACAGATGTCATCAAATGTAGCAAAAAATAAATAAAAAATAGAAAAAGCACACCCATATGTTCTGCATCACGGCAACCAACCCTAACTACTATTTTTAAAAAGTAGATATTAAACACGAGCCAAAACATTAAAAAGCATGCAGAAGGAAGACAACCTAAAATACATACCATAAAACTTTAGTAAAGCACCTAAAAAGTATTATAAATGCTCTGTATGTTTTATGCACACCAAAGGTACTTTGAAAAATTCCAGTAAAAAACAAAATAACTGAAGGATCATTCCTTTTCACATTAGTTCTTCTTCCCAAATAAATGCAGTTATTGGAATACAGTGGGGCCTTGACTTGCGAGTTTAATTCGTTCCATGATGGAGCTCATAACTCAAATTATTCGTATGTCAAATAAAAAGTGAACGAGTGAGACACGTGATGCTGGGCTGATGTTGTGGTGTTCACTGTGATGTTCGCTGCGCCAACTAGCGGTGGGGTATCTGAAGCTGGCTCGTAACCCGAATTTTAGCTCACAACTCAAAGCAAAAAATCGGCCGAGAAACGGCTCATATCTCAAAAAACTCGTTAGTCGGGACACTAGTAAGTCAAGGCCCCACTGTACACAAATTTTCTTTGTATTTTAGCGGTAATGCTATGAATAAAGAATAGTTTCTAAACCAAAGTTTAAAAAGCTGCTTTAGTCTTAACCCTTCTGGTTAACCACTGTATGTAGAAGCTCTTTGCAAAACATAAAATACTAAGAAAATGAAGTTATTATCTTTATTACTAAAAAAATAAATCAAGAAATAAATATTATTATTCTGCCAAGAAATAGAATAAAAATGCTTCAAAAAAGCATTTCCATAACTTGATGGGAAAGAAATGGAACAACTGTATATGTGCATTTGTGTGAAAAGAAAAAGAATAAATATAAGTCAGACAAAGAAGCATGCTTCAGTTTTATTTAAAACTGGAAATGGTTCAGCCTGGCTGGTGTAGCTCAGTGGTTGAGCATCAACCTATGAACCAGGAGGTCATGGTTCAATTCCCGGTCAGGGCACATGGCCGGTTGTTGGCTCAATCCCCTGTGGGGGGCGTGCAGGAGGCAGCCAATCAATGATTCTCTCTCATCATTGATGTTTCTATCTCTCTCTCCCTCTTCCTTACTCTCTGAAATCAATAAAAATATATTAAAAAATAAAAATAACAAAAAATAAAACTGGAAATGGTTCATATTAGATATCAGAAAAACATACTCTAGTTGAAATATGTGTACACACGGAAAAAGGAAAAGGCCCACACCAATCGTGATCACGCACCCGAGTGCCACTCTTCATTGAGAGCGCTTTCGCTGCTGGGATTGTCCTCCTCATCGGCTGGATCTGTCCCGTTCACAGTCGGCTCTAGGTCACTGTTCTTCAGGACTGATTCTTCCTCCTCGCTATATTCCTCCCCAGGTTCTTCTCTGAGTAACTGCTCCATAGAGGCCTGAAGCTCTTGTAAATCTGTGTCAGTTTCTTCAAACACACTGAAATTTAAAAAATTAAACACTACTAAAACCCATGTCTTTCTAATCAAACACTTAATACTCCAAAACTTTTCTTTTATGTAATTCTGAAAGTTCAGCAAAGTCTTGGTATGGATGTATAATAATTGCACACTATACAAAAGCTTTCCATATAAACCCTCACTGGGCATCTGAACTCTTAGAAATGGAAATACTTAGGGAATTATATGTTCAGGTTAATTGGATGATTTAGTAAATAAAATGGTCACTAGAAGTCTTATCTTTAGATCCTTATTCTTGAAAATATTCCTAAAGTACATAAGTAAACTTTACTGTAATTATAATACATTAACCATAATAATCTTATGTGGGGAATCCTATTTCTAAGAAATTGCTCAGGATATTAATTCTATTTTCATGGAAATAAAGATGCTGAAATGAACTAATTTATGCAAATAGTATTATACATTTATATAGTACTTTAGTTTTATCCTATTATTTAAATCTTATTCACACAAAACTCACTTAAGAGACATGAAAACTGTGAATCTAAGTGTTTAAATGACTTACTCAAGGTCACACAGTCAATAAATGACAATTATAGGCCGGAATTCTAAATCCTGTGACCACTTCTACAATACCCCCAAAATGTACTCATACTCACAATGTTATCTCTCCTATGATTTGCTTCTTTCTCCTAAAGTGGCAGGCAAATAGGTTAACGCCTTTCCTAAAGTTTACACTCCGATCAAATAGACAAATGTTTACCGAAGAACTAAAATATCAACAGTATTATGTGAGACAGGGAATAAAATTTCCATTAATAGAAAAAGAAAATAATCTTTAATGTAGAAATAGCTTTATTTTGTACTTATGTGTACAAACTCCTACACTTTGACTTTGTAGTAGCTATAGAAAAGCAAAGCATCTATGAGGAAAAGAGAGTACCTTAAATTTTTGGATCATCCTACTAGTAGCTCTTAACTTACTACATTTAATTACAAAAGTAGCATAACAGGCACATCTGCTATGTACCATTACCACAATGACTGAACATTGACCTGTGGATAAAACCCTCTAGTGGCCAGCCTAGAGGAACTAGTGGCCTCCTTAATGGTAGTAAAATAAGCAGGACTGCTAAGTCTGCCATTGCAAGGAAAAATGAGATTATGATCTTTTATGAAATGAACATTTCAAAATTTGTCTCAGGTACTTCAAAACCTGGTCCCAAATTCACCTTTTAGTAGGCTTTCTTATTAGTCAATTCTGAGTAAAGTTTGGATTTAAATAAATTAATTTTCCTCCCAAAGAAAACGTCAAGTGAAATTTCCTGTACAGACATGGATTAACTTACTTAAAAAAAATATTAGTTTTCAAATTTAAAAAATCATGTTAAAGGCTTCTAACTTAAATTTTAAAATAAAATTGTAATCAACTAGTAATTAAAAGAACATAAGCCACAATTAAGCTATAGTTTACTCAGATAAAAATGGATGACTTTATAAAAACTGAGGAAAAAACTGCTACCTAGCACTCTGTCAACCATAAAGATGCTGAAATGTTGTGTTCTCCAATAGGCATAATAAAAAGATAGTTAAAATGCTTAATGACCAGAGTTAAGCAGAAGAAAACAAAGATAAAAAGGTAACTTTTTCTCTAAATTTTGAGGGTACCAGCAAAATTCTACAGAACCCCATAAAAATTTTTAAAAAAGAAAGCAGCATTTAAAAATAAAATTTGGTTAGAAATTTAAGAAGGTGTAAGACTTAAGAAAAACAAAGAGAGAAAATAAAATATAGCAGATGAAGTAACCCTGGCTCAAATATTATAGTAAGAGAAATGGTGAGACTGATATAATGCTTTCAATCAGACCAAAACACAAGTTCTTTCTACTGAATGGCAGAGGTGAAAAGGAGAAAATTTAATTAAAAAATCAGAAAATAAATCACACAAATTCTAATATCTTGTAATGTATTTCCTGGTGACTTAAATACACTGTACCTTCTCAAACACTTTATTCCAGGGTGTCCTGGTTTTATTCCCCGCCCCCCCCCCCCAAATCTGTAACACTGTCTGAGGGGTAAGAGGACTAACTGATATCAAAGAATGTGAAGCGGGATTACTGTCTAAGGGGCCATCACTTCCAACCATTCTCAGAAGTATTGGTTAAATGACCCTGCTAGATTTTAGATTCCCTATGAATCATGAAGAAAGGAATTTTGTGAAAGCAATTAAGTTACTTACATGTAGAACACACATGTAAGCAAGTGCGCACACACAACCAAACAACTATCCCACCCACTAATTCCCCACTGCCATGGTTTTGAAATCATTCCCATCAGGAGATAGATGAGGATGGAGCTTTCTGGTCATCTCCCTGGGGAACTGTAGTGTAGTAAGTAAGCACTTCATAAATTCCCACTACAACCCCTATATCATGTGGTGTTGCACTATTAAACAGTCATTATTCTGCTAACAATCATTCACTTAATATTTATTAAGCACCTACCAGGTGCAAGCCATTATGCTGGATGCTAAGTGGTGAATAAGACAGAGAACACCAAGAGAAACCATTTTCTTATATTCTACAAGTGAGATAGGTTGAGGCAGAAATACATATCAAAATTTGCATGACTGTAGTCTAAATATGTTGTAAAAGTTAAAGGAGTAGTGAAAAGTTAGCTACAGATAATTTTTAGAAACTGTCCAGGTAAATTACCATCTCTAGAACATTTATAAACTCAGAAACTCTGTTAGTGTTATTCTCTGTTAATGACTTCGCGCTCACATGTCTTCAGAATCAGAAGGTCCTTCTTTAATGTGCTCGTCTTCAATGTCATCCATTTCAAGGTTGTCTTGCCGGACATCTCCTACCGTGGGAACATCCATCAGTGTTCTGAACAGCTTTGAGAGATCTGGAAGTGAACATGTCCTCAACATCTAAGAAAAGGCAACAGATTTCTTGTCAGGAGTATGATAATTAGAAAATAAAAACAAAAATTTATAAAATTAGAGCTAAAGATAATTTGTTATTATATTAGTATATATATTTAAAGGCTCACTTGCCCAAGGTGAGAACTAATTCTTTTGAATTTCAGTGAGGAAACTAAACTTGGGAGTTATGTTTGGGATTCAACACATAGATTTCAACATAGGGTCACCTTTAAAAGGTAGGGAGAGATGTTTATTAGGGATGTACTCATATCATGGAACTGGAAATCTGTCAGGAATCAGGCATTGCTAGAAACTGCCAGTTTGCTCCTTCTCACTCGTGGTCCATATTGTGCCCTTTCATGGTATCTCTGCCAAGTTTTCTTTTACTTTCCTATGGCTAACCCGCCATATATATAGGGTGTCCCCCAAAAATGTATACATACACTTTGAATAAAGGCATTGTTTATTAAAATACATTTCATTTTCAAAATTGAAAAATCAGCTATTAAGTGTGCATACATTTTTGGGGGACACCTGTATTTTTCCCCAAATCTTAAAAGTTCATCTGAAGTGTGGCTAAGCACCATTACATGTAATTGATGGCTCTTTGTACCACTTTATCACTAGGAGTTGCTGGCTAGCCAACAATGGTTAAATGAGGGGCCTCAAATTAGTGGGGGGGGGGAAGCAAAGTCCTAGCCGGTTTGACTCAGTGGAAAGAGCGTCGGCCTGGGGACTGAGGGGTCCCGGGTTCGATTCCAGGCAAGGGCATGTATCTCTGTGGCAAACTCGATCCCAAGTCCTGGTCGAGCTGTGTGTGAAGGCAACCAATCAATGTGTCTTTCTCACATTGATGTTTTTCTCTCTCTCCTTTCCACTCTAAAAAATCAATGGAAAAATATCCTCAGGTGAGGATTAACAACAACAAAAAAGCCTAACAATGCTACATGAACAATGGGCTGTGAGTGGAGCCTTTCCCACTCTGGAAGGCTAAAGACAGGCACTTCCATGTTCATGCTGAAAATCCTTGGAAGCAGCAGGTGAGAAGGAACTCAGCAAACCGAGCTAAGGAAAAACCATGCATCCAGCTGAGGTGTTTAAAATTTGATTTCTTTGTTGGATAAGACTAGGAATTTGAGGAATGGCTTTTGTCTACTAACTTTCAACCATTAGAATGTCAATGGACAGACAGGGCTATAAAACAAGTATGTATTATATAAGTCTCAGGGTTGGGTTAACCCTAAGGACTCTGTGAGATCTGAAACATGACTCCTAAGGCCCTGATAAGAATCCTACACCAGACGGGAGACTGTGAAAACACAACGTTTAGCATATTAATGAAAATTTATATACTTGGCCAATTTTATTGGTACAACCTGTTTTTGAGAATAAAAAAGGATAAATTTCCATTATTGGAACATAATTTACATATTAAAGCACTCAAGAGGAAAAAATGATTTCAAACGGCAAGATGGTGAAGATACACTGCTTGTTAAAGCATTTAATAGTACTGCAAGTATTTCTTTTGCTGAATCTCTCACTGTCAGCAGAATTTATCTTTGACATATTTCTTATTTTAATGTTTTGAACCATGTATATTATAAACCAGCAGTATGCAAAATACACGCCTAGTAACAGTTTCTCCAGATACATGCTAATCAATAAAAATTAATAGCATATACTCATGGACACGGAAGACAGTGAATGATTATGGGGGGGGGGGGAGAGTGGCTAGAGGGAGGTAGAGAAGAAAGGGTCTACAGGGGATAAATGGTGATAAAAAATTAATAGCATATATGCATTACATACCTAAATACAAAGCAACTACACAAAAGGATGCACTATTTTTTAGGCTGATGTAAAGTTTAGCCTGGAAAAAAATCTTAATTCTAATTTATTCCTTTCACTCCTTAAAACAGCTTTCATAACTGAACATAAAATAACAGGAAGAAATTTCCAGTGGTATATCATTTGACAACCTTCCTCTCAGAATGGGTTTACACACCTACCAACCCAACAACTATCTGTCCTATGTTAAAAATCATTTAGGTTCGTAGTCTTCTTTGAAAGACTGTTAAAGTTTTAAATAGAATACTCATCTTTAGTCAGAAAATGTTATATAAGCAAAATTTCAGTTCTGTAATTCTGATTCTAAGTTTTTCATGTTGTTAAAGTAATAATCTATAGTTTTAACAATCATATAAAGAGATCTTCCTGAAAATAGCTATCTATAACATGTCATCTTACATCTTTATTTAGTCAGACTAATCTTTTTTCTAGATTCTTTATAGAATGATTCCACACAGCTAGTAGCATTTGGTGCCATTATAAATCAAACAGGAGATCAATGTTTTAGAAAACTTTAAAACATAAAAAACCTGCAACTCACTTTTTCGTCAGTAGTATTTTTCATAAAAATTATTAATTAGTAATACTCTGGTTATACTGTGAAATGGTTTATGATGAGCACATCTGTTTAGCTTCTGTTTACTGCAATTAAAATTTAACATTTCACCCTTGAAATAGTTTCTATAGCCCTGACCAGGTGGCTCAGTTGGTTTGAGCATCATCCCGTACACCAAAAAGATTGCAGGATCAATTACCGGCCAGGGCACATATCTAGGTTTCAGGTTTGATCATAGTTGGTGAGCATATGGGAAGCAACCAATAGATGTTTCTCTTTCACATTGATGTTTCCCCCCCACCCCCCCTCTCTCATCATCAAAAAACATATCCTCAGGTGAGGATTTAAAAAATAGTTTTTATAAATATTTGCTCACTCCAACCCATAAACTGGGTTAAAAATGAATTTAAAACACTAATTAAAAAATTAAGAGCACCTACCAAAGGCAAAAATCATGAACATTATCTAAGAACTAGAGGCCCAATGCATGAAATTCGTGCAAGGGGTTCGGCCCTTACAGCCTTGGCCCTCACAGCCCCGGCTTCATCCAGAAGGTTGTCTGGAAGGTCATTCAGTTGTCTGGTCTAATTAGCATATTACACTTTTATTATTATAGACTGATATTTTAGCAAATGAAAAGAAGACATTAAGGTACATGTGCTAGTTGTAAATTGTACATTAATATTTTCCCCACTTTACATTTGCTATAACAAGAAATCTTTGTAAGAGGTTAAATTATCCCATTTTAGGAAACAGATTATATAAATGCTTATCCTCATGATTCAAGATCAGCATTGTTTCAGAGATTTATGGGATAGGCAGATATGGTTTTCTGTACTTGCCTGAAATGGCTACAGATTGCTTTGATTTCCTAATGTTTTTTTCTTGCCTTTTTCTCCCAAAGTACTTTTACAGAACTAGTGAGGTGTAAACTAAGGCCATGAAAGTAAATCAAATAATTGAATGTATTATGTAAGGAGTCACAATTGTATTTATTTTAAAATTTATCTTTATTGTTGAAAGTATTACAGATGTCCTCTTAACTTTTTCCCCTATTGACTCCCTCCATCCTGTACCTACCCCTCCCAAGCCTTTACCTCACTAGTGACTGTGTCCATGGGCTATGTATATATGCATATAAGTTCCCCAATTAATCTCTCCCCCTGACCCTCACTGCTGCCTTCCCTCTCTTTAAAGACAGCAATGAGGTTTTAAAAACCTTTGGGCTAAAGACAGCTATACACCTTTAATGCAAAAGAAGTACATGAGTTATATGATAATCCTTGTCTGTCACACCAAGTTTATATCTTTGAAAATCTAACTACTATTAAATAAGTGAGAGTATTTAGCATATATATACTTAAGATAAGCATAAGAAAATACTCCACAAAATAAAAACTTATCTAATTGGAAAATTAAATTGAAAATCAAAATGACATATTTAAAAAACAATAAAGGACAAAAGAATTCAGCCCTTGCTGGTTTGGCTCAGTGGTAAGAGTGTTAGCCTGCAGACTGAAGGGTCCCAGATTCGATTCCAGTCAGGACATGTACCTGAGTTGCAGGCTCGATCGCTGGCCTGGTTGGGGAGTGTGTGAGATAACCAATTGATGTGTCTCTCTCACATCTACGTTTTTCTCTCTCTCAGGTGAGAATTAAACCAAAAAAAAGAACTCAGGCAACTCATTCATATATAGATAAATATATAAAAAATATTCAACCTTCCGAGGAAATACAAAAACACAAATTTAAAAAAATTAACACCATTATTCACTCATTAAATACATAATTTTTAAGTAAATGATAATAGTTGGTGCTATTTAGAGTATAGACTCTCACATACAACTGACAGCACTATAAACTGTTTTCTGATGGGGAAATTAGGCAATATATGTATTTTTAAATTGCACTTACAGAAATTTACTTTATGGAAATAATTGTGGATATGTAAAAAGATATAGGGGATGGCAATCACAAAAATTGAAACATAAAGGCCCAAACCTAAATAAAAGATTGGTTTAAAAATAATGATATAGTAGACAAATGGAATTTGTGGCCATTAAAGATGATATGAGAGACTTTTTGACAATATGACAAAATGCTATTTTTGTAGTATTATTATTTATAATAATTTTATAATACATATTACATAGAAAAGCAGGTGAAAAAAAAGATTAGGCATGTATTCTATTTTGGTAAAAAGTTACATATAAAAATTATATATATGAAAAGTAACATAAAATAATATGTGATTTTTTTATTTGTATTTTAAAATTCTCTATAGAGATAATGCTCTATTTTCTTATCAAGAAAAAAACTGGTTACATATTTAGCAAGTGAGAAATGTGTCTGAAAAACTTCTATCAGAAAGTGATATGAACATCTATTAATCTTTCTATGTACAAATTAGGCAATATGATACTTCTATCCATTTAAAATACATTGCTTAAACTTAGTCTCATACTAACATTGGAAGTTGAGTTGGGTAGTGGGAAAGAAAGATAATGTAAGAGAGATATTTTGCTAAATAAAACAAAACCCTATAAAAAGAACCTTGAACAGGGAGCCAATGAAAGAGTTTTTGTCCTGATTGTTTTCAGTATCTCAGATGATAAAATGGAAGTTTTGTTGTTGTTTCTATAAATTGTTTTGATGTATGTCTGAGTATACGTGCTTGTGTTTTTAAGAGATTAAAACTCAATATTACAGTTTATCAAAGACAAACAATCCATAAAACTGTTACCAAATGAATAACATTTTCCATGTGAGGAGCATACTTGCCTTTGGGTTGTTTGCATCAAATAAACCAGTTGAAAGTCCAATCAGCAAGGAATTCTTGTTTTTCTTTTTTGGCGGTGAACCAGAGTGAGATCGAAGTGGAAAGGATTCTTCTGGTGAACACAGAATGGACTGAATTTGAGAGACTACATTCAAGTGTTCTGGGTGAACCACTTTATGGAAAAATGGTTCTAGATGCATAGATTTATCTACATCACATTTAGAGTGCGGAGAATCACCTATTCCAGGTTCTGTGGTGTAAAGCAAAAATTATGAGATAAATCTATATAGCACTTAAATAAAATTTCTAAGTTATATTGATAAGGCATAGTATTTAACACAAATTCTAGCAAAAAACCTTCATGTCTACCAGAAAAACAAAATCAAAATATATATATAGCCCTCACTTAATGTTGCCAATAGATTCTGCAACTTTAAGTGAAATGACATATAACAAAACCAATTTTACATTAGGCTAACTGATATAAACAAGAGTAAGTTCCTACTATGTCTCATCAATGTTATAAAGAAATGACTCTGAACAAAATGATGTTATTAGAGGACCTGCTGTATGTAATTGTACTATCTGATAAGTAATCTAAAACAGGATATAATGTCTCATTTTCAGAAAAAAGATTTAATGTTATATACTTCCATCACATTGGAAACTCTAAAATGTACACACAGATGCAAGAAAATGTGAAGAAACACTGTTTAGACACTCATATTTAGTTTTAGTTTATCTTTATTCCTATAAGTTAGATAGAAAAAAAGTATGCTTTTTATATTTTAATTAACTTTTAAAAACAAGACAACTTATGAATGTCCTTAGTATACTGCCTTAGTTTTGGGAAGCAATTCTTTTCATTTTGAACATTTAATAAAATAACTGACCTAAAAGTTTTATTGCTCATACTGTCGAGCAATCCAGGCTTATAAATGCAGAGTCCAGTGCTCTATGTCTATTACATTTTTTAAATGATTGAGGTGACTGAAAAGGAATAGTTTATATTAATATATTGTCCAAATAAAACAGGTTAGTGTTCACAACCTTCCAGAACGTAATTAGACCAATACAAAGATGCTTACCTATATGAACTTCACTAAGTTGATCCACCTTCCTTAAGATTCCTTCTTCAGAAACTTCATTTTGCTGAATAGTGATCCTATCTTCTAATCTGTCACATATAGGTATACCAGTTTAAAAACAAACAACTTCACAGTTTACTAGAAATAGCACTCTCAAATATAAAAAAATAGAACTAAACTTCACTGGCATGCTGTGATTTCTCTCCTAAATATCTTTTTCATTTATATGTATACTTCCTCTCATAAGCACAATATATTTTTTACCCCGTTCAAATCTTCAGCAATCATAATCATTCACAACAACTTCCCTCACCATTTCTTTTAACAGTTGAAAATCTCTAGACTAGAAGAATATATTCCAGAAGGTAGCAGTAATTTATCTCTGTGGGTTTGGTTCATAGGCAGTTTTTATTTTCTTAATACTTTTCACCTATATCAAATTTAAGTAGTTTTTACTTTTTTAGTTACAAATTTTGAACAATTTTCTATTTTTACTTTTTAAACTATTTCTTTTTAATCATACAAGTAATACATTTCTTCATTCAAAATGTAGTATTCCTTGGTTCCTCAAAAAGATAAACACAGGATTACCATATGCTGCAGAAATTCCACTTCCAGGTATACAACCAGAAGAACTGAATACAGGTATTCAAATGAAAACCTGTACACAAATGTTCACAGAATTGCTATTAACAATAGCCAAAAGGTAGAAACAACACTGAAAATGACCCATCATCATCTGCTGAATGTATATCAACTGCTGAATGGATAAAAATGTATGCTATATTCATATAATGGAAAAATGTTTGGCCATAAAAGGAATGAAGTACTGATCCATGCTACAACAAAGATGAACTTTAAAAACATTATGTTAAGTGAAAGAAGACAGATTCAAAAAGCCACATATTGTATTATTTCATATGAAATATCCAGAATAGGCAAATCTATAGAGACAGAAAGCACGTTAGTGATTGCCAGGGGCTGGGATGATGGGAAAATGAGTGCTGTTTTACGGGTACAGGGTTTCCTTTTGGGGTGGTAAAAATGTTCTGGAACCAGACAGTGATAATGGTTGGACAACACTGTGAATGTATTAAATATTACTGAGTTGTACATTTAAAAATAGTTAAAATGATAAACTTTATGTTATATAAATTTACCTCAATTTAAAAAACAGTAGTGTTTCTTTTAAGACACCCCTAACCACTCAAATCCTAGTTTCCCGTGCTGTTATCAGTTTGGTGGACATCCGACCATACTTTTCCTTTAAAATTACAGACATATATATGCACATATATAATGATTTTACATAGAATTATATATTCTGGTATATGGAAATGTTTTATTCAATATAAATTTGTTTCAATAATCACTCAATATTTTAGACCTATTTCCATAAAAACAGAAATTCACAGAAAATAGAAATGAAACTTAAACATTTGAAAAGTTATGCTCAATTTTACCAATAATAAGAGAGATAAACTAAGACCCTAAACCATGATACTATCAGATTGGCAAAAATAAAAACTCTGATAATAAAAGGTTAGCAAGGCTGTGGGGAAAATAAGACATTTTATACATTTTTTTCTGAAAGCATAAGTGAGTACAACCTTTGGGGAGAACAATAATTGAATTACAAATGCAATTTATAAAAATGGAATTGACCCATTAATTACACAGCTATGTATCTATCCTACAGATATATTTACATTCATGCAAAATGACTTTATTAAAAGATAATGAATACATTGCAGCATATGAATTCATAAAGGACGCTGAGTTGTGGTTTATCCATATAATGGAATACTAAATAGTCATAAAATAGAGGAAGCACTGTATGTATTAATATAAAAAATATTCCTGGATTACTGACTAAAAATGTAAAGTGTTGAAAATACTGTGTACATTATATTAACAACTATATTTAAAAGGGAGGTGGACTATATATTTGTTTTTGCTTATGTACATATTAAAGATATTTGAAGGAGAGTGGGAATTTGCTGGATGGGGATAGAGGTGGAAAGAGACTTCTTACTGTATGTCTTTATATACTTGTTGATTTCTGAACCATATGAGTATAATGTCCAAAAATTAAATTACTTTTATAAGGTATAAGATATAGGGTAATATTAGATTATGACAGTATTTTTTTAAACTATATTTTTATTCATTTCAGAGAGGAAGAGAGAGAGAGAGAGAGATAGAAACATCTATGATGAGAAAGAATCAGCTGCCTCCTGCATGCTCCACACTGGGGATTGAGCCTGCAACCCAGGCATGTGCCCCTACCGGGAATCGAACCAAACCTCCTGGTTCATAGGTAGACACTCAACCACTGAGTCACGCTGACCCAGCCATGATAGTATTTCTTAAAAGTGAATTATAGCCCAGCTGGCGGGGCTCAGTGGTTGAATATCCACCTATGAACCAGAAGGTCATGGTTCAATCTCTGGTCAGGGCATATGCCTGGGTTGCGGGACAATCTTTAATGTGGGACATGCAGTAGTCAGCCAATCAATGATTCTCTCTCATCATTGATGTTTCTCTCTCTCTCTCCCTCTCCCTTCCTTTCTGAAATCAATAAAAACATACTTTTAAAAAAAATGAATTACAAAACGGGATCCAGGTTTTGACATACAAGAAAAAAGAGGTAACATACTCAGTTTCCTTTGTTTCCTTCGTCTCACTAACCCATACATCAGTTACAGGGAAAGGTAAGCCATCTTCTTTGTTTGTTCCACATGGCTCTCCTAGAACTTCTGTTTCCAAATCATCAGGTTCTGAAAGCAAAAGCATAACAAAAAACGTCTCAAAGCAAAATTAGTTTAGAGAAAATGGAATGAATTTCTATAAATTATCATTACCTAGTTTTAGGCTAATATATTAATGATAACAGGAAAAAGTATTGTGTTAACTCTCTAGTTCAGCTGCGTTTGAAATGATAGATTTTTCCTTTTGAATTTTTCATTGCAATAAAAATACTGAAAAGAAATATTGCACACTGTATTTTTATTAGTATATAAAATTTTTTCTTTCTTAAAATTTCGGTAATATACAATTTGCTTTTAAAGAAGGTATAAAAAGTAGCTTAAAATAACAATATCTGTGGTTAGAAACAAGGAAGAAGAATAGACTATAATATCATGGATTAATAACTGACAGGGAAGTTCAATTACCAAAATCTATCTTCAAAAAACCAAAAAAGAAAAAAATCCTATTACCTAGATTTTTACAATGATATTAAGAACACAATTGAAGTGCATTAAATCTAATTTCCTAGACCTTCAAACAATTAATAACCAGGGTACTACTTCTGTTTTCTGGCAGTGACTCATTTTTTACCTTGTTGATATTTTCTGAAAATAAATAATAATGAGAAGAGTTTTTCTTCTTCCTTTGTTAACTCCTCTCCAATTCTGATATCAATGCTATCTTATTTAAGCCAGAAGCATCTCCTCTTTTTTCCTAAAATCCAAATACTCTTTCCTTCTAGATTTAAAAAGTTTCTAAACAGCTGTCCTATTTAGAAAGATAATTGATATTGTATCAATCCTTAAAGTTTTTATCTTTTATTCAAATGACTTTTGGGGGTTACTCATATAAGGTAAGCACTTGGGGGAAATTCTTTTTTATTAACTTTTTCATGAACAATTGTTTTGTAGCACCTTAAGCATATAAATATGACTCATTGAACAAAGTAGATTTGTGATTGTTTTGCTTGCTAAGTCTAAAATATATACCCTGTGGCTCTTTTAGAAAGTTTGCTGACTCTTGCACTAGGCTATACAGCCTCTATTCTATGCCTAAAAGTGTTTGTGGTTGTTTTTTTTTAAATAAAAGGCTATGATACCTAACTATGATTCTAATGAGTAAGAATATGTAAGTTATTGTGGTGAATTAAAGATGGTCACACATATAGCAAGTCTCTGACATCTGTCTCATCTAGAAAGGGCCTCTTTCTCCCCTCCCCTTGTGATGGCCCAGTGCTGTGATGGCCTTGACCAACTGAGTACGATTGAAATGTTGCTATGTCCTTTCTGGATCTGGCTTTTAAGAGAACTGGCATTGTCCACCTTGGAATCTGGAAGCCAAAGCAACCCTAAAAGAAGCTTAACTATTCAGGAAAGACTGAATGGCAAGGCCATGAGACTAAAATGAAAAAAAAAAAAGGAACCCAGTTGAGCAGGCCCAGCTGAGCCCTGCCAGGACAGGGAGTGACATCATCTTGCACGCTCCAGATCAGCCCAGCTGACAGCGGGATACCCCTGAGTGATGCCAGCAATTGTTCTTCTCCAGCAATTAAGGCTTTCTCCACACGGCAGAGAAGGATCTTCCCAATTCCTAACTCACAAAAGTGTAAGATAAAACATAATAGTCATTTTAAGCCACTAAGAAGTTGTAAGACTAATTTGTTTTCCATGAATAGATAACTGAAACAGAATTTCTTATCTGAAAAATGGGTGCTGACATGACAAAAGCCTAAAACATGTGCACTGGCTTTGGGACTGGGCAACAGGCAGAAGTTGAAAGGCTTCAAAGGGACAGTTGGTGAGAGACTGGCCAGTGAAAAAAAGTTATTGGAGGCTAGAGAAAAGGGGATTCTTGTTATATAGTAGCAGAAAATTTGGTACCTGTGAAAACAAGAACAACAGAAAATGTTCTGAACAAACTCAGTGATTAGCTAAGGAACTATCTAAGCAGCTACCTTTTTTAGTAGTCTCTGATAAAGTGCAAGACAGAGGTTGACTGAAGAAAGAACTGCTTGGTTTATAAGGAGAATTTAGAAGAGAAAACCCAAAATAATTCCTTCTAGGCAACAAAAGTTTCTCGAGGAAGACATGGCCTCAAGAGTTTCATGGACAAATGAATTTGGTAAATGATACATAGCATATCCCCTTCTTGGAGATTCATAGGCACATTAAAATATTAGTAACTTAAAAAAAAAGAAGAGATCAAAGTATTATTCAATTAAATACAGCTCATTTTGACCCTTTAACACATACCATCCACATTTCCTTCTGGTTTCAATGATATCTGTGGAGACACCTCCCTAAACTTTGGACTGTTTGTCTCAACAGAAGAATCAACAGTAGCTGATGGGTTCATTTCAAGTGAAATACAATTTACTTGTTCTTCTCCAGCAATTAAGGGTTTGTAACTCTCCCCTTCAGGAGAAATCTCTGAAACAATAAAAATGAAAAATCATGCTACATTTTCCAAGTGTTTTACCAGTAATAGCATTTAGAGAAAAGTTCAAAAATTGCATTCTTATAACAGGTAATTAATGGTTAAGCTCTGTTATGTATTAGAAATTAATAATTAAGGTACATGACAGCCAAATTTTATTTTAATTATACACAATGAATTCTAAGGTGGTTAATATATGATTTACTTTCTTTTTCCTTTTGGTGAAACTAATATATGTGTGTTACAATGGTATTTTGAAATTCTTAACTAATTGTTTTTGTTTGTCTCTATTCACTAGATTCCTCTAGCACCCTTTCCAGGTGACAACCAAAAATGTTTCTAGACAATGCCAAGTGTCCCTCTGTGGGCAAAATCACCCTTGGTTGAAAACCACTGCCACGGAGAATGAAAATCCACAAAACAAATTAAAATCAGTAACCCACTATTTTTATGTTTTTTAGAGGGAGAAGAGGAGGGGAGGGGGAGGTGAAGGGAGGGGAGGGGAGGGGAAGGGAGGGGAGGGGAGGAGGGGAGGGGAGGAAGGAAGGAAGGAAGGAAGGAAGGAAGGAAGGAAGGGAGGGAGGGAGGGAGGGAGGGAGGGAGGGAGGGAGGGAGGGAGGAAGGAAGGGAAAACATCAATGTGAAAAACAGTGATCAGATGCCTCCCATACGCACCCTGATTGAGGATTGAACTCACAACTGAGGTATGTGCCCTGACTGGAATTGAATCCACAACCCCTTGGTATATGGGAAAATGCTCCAACAAACTGAGCCATCCAGCCAGGGCAATAACTCACTATTTTTAAATCACCTAGAAACATTAAGAACATAATATAAAACACAAGAGAACAACATGAAAAAATAATCAGGAATGAGAAAGTTGACTGAGCTTAGGAAAGACTAGGGAAAAAAAGATTAGAAATAAAGATTATAAAATAGACACAAGATCATATAAACAAAAGGCACAATGTCTTAATAGGTATAAAAGGTGAACAGGGGAAAAATTCAAGAAATAAGAGACATTGTAAACTGTAATTGAAAAATAAAATTTAAAAGCAACAAAAGGGATTCAAGATAAAGTGAAAGATATAGAAAGGCAAAAAAAGATCCAAAGTACACACAGTAGAAGTTCCTCTGTAGACTAAAGGAACAAAATAGAAAACTATAACTCACGAACACTTTCCTAAACTTGGGGGGAGGGGGAACACTACACAATGAGGAAAACTACAAAACTGATGAAAACGAACAAAGAAAAACTAAGAATGGAGAGATATTCCATGTTCATAGATAGGAAGATTCATTATTATCAAGATATCAGCTCTTCTAGCATTATGCTAAGCGAAATAAGTCAGTCAGAGAAAGATAAATATCACATGATCTCACTCATTTGTGGAATATAATGAACAACATAAACTGATGAACAAAAATAGAGCCAGAGAAAAAAATATTTTAGAATATAATAGGAGTAATCCTGTTATTTGCAGATTTTTAATATTTCCTATAACTTTTGTGATATTATACTATGTTAGTACAGTTCTGGTAATATTATATTTAAAATCTTTTTTCTTGAAATATGTTTATTGCATTGTAACATTATATTTAAAATCATTTTTCCTAAAATATTAATGTTTATTGCATGTAAAATAAATAAATAAATAAATAAGAATAGAAAAAGTAAAAACTTTTCTGGTAAAAGAAAAAAAAAGATATCAGCTCTTCCAAATTTGATCTATGGATTCAATGCAATCCCAATCAAAATCCCAGCAAGTTATTTTGGGAATATTGACAAATTGATTCTAAAGTTTATGTGGAGAAGCAAGAAAGAAACTCTGAATAGCCAACACAATATTAAAGAAGAACAGAGTTGGAGGAATAATATTACCTAACTTCAAGACTTACTATGGTGAATTGGTGCTGAAAATTCCATCCATGCTGTTGCAAAAGGGAAGAGTTCCTTCTTTTTTACCGCAGCGTAGTATTCCATTGTGTAGATGTACCACAGTTTTTTAATCCACTCATCTGCTGATGGGCACTTAGGCTGTTTCCAAATCTTAGCTATGGTGAATATGGTGAATATGGTGAATATGGTGAATTCACCACAGCTAAGATTTAGAAACAGCACTAAGTGCCCATCAACAGATGAGTGGATTAAAAAACTGTGGTAC